GGCGCCAAATCCTGGCGTATGACGGGATATGTTTTGTTGTCAGATGAGTATGACGCCCCTGCCCTGTGTCAGGTGCTTAAAGGTTGAACTCTCAATGGGGGGGGGGGAGCTTTTTCAGTACCTGTGCTGGTTCACAGCAGCTCCTGGAGCACCAGACCTCCGTGTCTAGACAAGGTGGTATTTTTAGACGGCCGATATTTGACATAATATCTATCTGTGCATCTCCCTTCTCTCTTTACACATGGCAACACACAGAGCTGAGATATATCTGTTATGGAGGGGGTCCTGTTGTGGGGGGGGGTCCATACTTCACATTCTACTGGTATATTAATAATGTTCCTCACATACTCAGGTTACATGTTTACTATTCTAATCTCTCTCTTTTTTCCCCCCCTACAGCAAATCAGTACAATCAAAAGTGGACAACATACTGGTGAGTAATTACTGGCTGCGATGACTTCATTTGTATTTCCTGGTGAATGCTTAGCCGCGCCGGCGCGTGCCGCCATTGGCCGCCCATGTAGTGTTGCTGTGCCTGAGCACTCGCTGCTCCACGGCCGGCTCTCCGTCGCTTCACCCGAGCGAGACGTCCGGCTGACTCATTTCCTACGCTCTGGTACTTCCTTCGGAGGAATCCGTCCGCTGTGTGTTAAGAAGGCGACCGGGGGGGGGGGGGTGAAGTTTGTGATTGTACACGGGTGCAGCGGTAACCTTCAGGAATGATGTCAGCTCTGCAGAAAAAGCCCCCCAGCTGACGTAGTGGAACTGCATGCAAATGCATTGTAGCTCCCTTTCATAAGACACATGGTGTGGGGTGATTTTGGGGGCCGTGAGATGGGCTTGCTTATGTTCATCTGAAGTATGAATATGGATACATTCAAGTACAAAATGGCAGGTATGCGTGCTCTGGCTGCTAGGAAATGGTTGTTATTGAAGGGAAAAGCAGCATTATGATGACAGGAAGTCAGTTTCAGAGATAAACAAGAGGACGAAACTGTCCGGTAGGTTGAGGAAGTCATATGGAGAAAATTCACCATGTAGATGGCACAAAATCACCCCCCTGCAATGTCTGTCTGGGTCCATGCGTCGAAAAACTCCAACCCGTGGATGTCGGCCTTAGGGTTCTGCCAAGTTCAGGGCAGCTGAGCTGTAGCTGCTGGTTATTAACGTGAAACTTTCAGACCGGAAGAGAGACGGGAGACTGTGGCCATTGTGGCGGATGCTATGCTGGTCAGTCCTGCTATTAAAAAAACACTTTTAAAATGTTCATATCAAATATCAGCGTCAAAAATACAGTACAACAGATGGATCTACTTTCTGCAGCCTTCCATAAGTGCCACCAGGAGAAACACACCCTATAGAAAGTGGGGGCGCAGAGTTCTGTGAGTCTCAATGCGAAGTGAGGTGCTTATTGTTTTTATCAGTGTTTGTCTGCTTCTGCTCTGTAAACTGACTTTTTTTCCCCAGTCTGACCACTGACATGAGTGAAATACTTAAATTTACGTTTAAAAATCAGTTTACACGCACATGCATATTTTTAGAAGTTTTGATGATGTAGTCTTTGCGTTCGAACCTTTGTAGTACAATCTGAACTTGAATGAAAGACTGAAAAATGAGCGTGTTGTAATTCTGTCAGACTGATTCAGCTGCTTCAGGCTTTTTCTTTGCATATGAAACACTGATTCATCTGCAGAGTCGTTGTGTGCAAACAGGGGAAGGGACTCACGCGGTAAAAAAAAGAAGCTCCAGTGCGTGTTTGCCTTCAGCCCCAGACGCGCTCCCCGGGATCTGTCCCCTTACACTTTCTGCACTGTCCAGTGCTTGTTTGCCTTCAGCCCCAGACGCGCTCCCCGAGATCTGTCCCCTTACACTTTCTGCACTGTCCAGTGCGTGTTTGCCTTGAGCCTCAGACACGCTCCTCGGGATCTGTCCCCTTACACTTTCTGCACTGTCCAGTGCGTGTTTGCCTTCAGCCCCAGACGCGCTCCCCGGGATCTGTCCCCTTACACTTTCTGCACTGTCCAGTGCGTGTTTGCCTTCAGCCCCAGACGCACTCTCCGAGATCTGTCCGCTTACACTTTCTGCACTGTCCAGTGTGTGTTTGCCTTCAGCCCCAGACGCACTCCCGGAGATCTGTCCCCTTACACTTTCTGCACTGTCCAGTGCGTGTTTGCCTTCAGCCCCAGACGCGCTCCTTGGGATCTGTCCCCTTACACTTTCTGCACTGCTGCTGCGTTTTCCATCGCAAACTCAAGTTGTTTCAGATGCTCCAAACGTAGAAACGTGACTAGATTGGATTGCGACTCGAAACTGGAGAGCCGATCCCATATCAGCATGGGGAGGAGATCAAAGATGCTCTTTCTCTCTGGGGGGAAATGGCCCATCGCTGGAGGAAGGTTAAAAATAAATCTGGGCCCCCTGGTTTGAGGGCTGCACCCCTGTCTGCTGTTGTGGACCATAAGGTTTATCTCCATGCCATGTCCCCCCCTCCTGGCAGGGCAGTTTAGCCCCACACTGTTTGGTGCGTTTTTGTGTGGAACAGGACCGGCAAGCACGCTATCAGCTCTTGGGACTCCCCAGCTTGCCCGACACGGTTTGTGCGGCACTCCGCTGCCCCCGCCTTTGTGCACAAAGGGCTGCGGGTCCTAAGAATTCTCCCTTTAGCACTTGGGGCCGAGGGCAGAAGGGAAGAGGCAGGTCTGCTAAGCCAGGCCTGAGAGACCGACATGACCTCCGTGGTCCAGACTGCTGCAGACCTCTCTGGATGTTGCAATCCCACACTGAGCCTTGCATCAGAATCTGTCTGTTAAAGCTGCTTAAAAGTCGTATTCTACCTCAGTGCTTGTTTCCACCCCTGCCGACACTTAAGACCTTCTGCTGCCCCGTATTACTCAATGTTTATTGGCCTCTGTTTTCATGTGGGGTGGTTTTTCCACTCAGTTTATTAATATTATACCTGCAGTCACTAGTGTCACATAGAGGCAGTGTTAAAAACAAGGTATAGATGAACAGATTAATAAAAGCCAAAACACTAATATTTATTGTTTGTTTCCCAGGCCACTGAATTATTTATGAACTAGATGTTGGCAAGTTCTTTCCAGGGCAGTGATAGCGGGATCTCAGCCGGGTTCAGTATATACCTCTGCATTCTGAACGAATCACTCTGGATGGTGCAATGATTGTGCGTGTGCGTGTGCGTGTGTGTGTGTGTGTGTGAGTGTGTGCGCATGTGCATGTGCATGTGCGCTCGTGCCTGTGAGGCCAGCTCTCAGGACTACTGATCTCTGAAAGTGGCACAACTGTGTCTCGTTGACGTGCAGTTGATGAATTGCACGCTACAGCAAAGCCTTCATGCTGATTGGACGGCTCGTTGAGCCCGGCTGCGGGCGACCGAGTTCCGTAGTTCGCCATTTGCTGGTGGCTGGTGGGCGGGGCATCCTCTTCATGCCCCACTCCGCGCTCTGATGGGATGAGCTGCCCCGCTAGCACAGATCACTGAAAGCTGCCGCTGTGTGTGTGTGTGTGTGTGTGTGTGTGTGTGTATGTGTATGTGTGTGTGTGTGTGTATATGGTCCGTTCAGGCATGGGCTCAGCAGTCGCAGCAGTGGCATTTTCGGCTCCATGATTTTTGTGGCTGTTCAGCTCCGCCTTTCCTGACTGGTGCAGGTGAAGTCAATGTCGAGCGTCCTGTCCCTGTGGCTCAGGGAGGTGTGGCTTGGGGGGACGGGGGGGGCAGGCTGCTCCTGAGACAGTAAGGGATGGTTAGCAAAAGGCTCTCCTTTGTCTGTGCTACCGGAGGCATGCATGTGTCGCTGTGTGTTTTGTCAGTGCCTCCACACACACACACCTTCAGCAGAACCTCATCCCCACACTCGTCCTCATGGTCTCATCGGTGCGATTCCTGTGCTGGTGAAAGACTAAGAGGCGGGGTGAGGGACCGCTGTTCACGTCGTCCCCCCCCCCCCATTTGAAGTCCTCGTCACACTGCTGACACGCACACACATGCACACGCGCACACCGCACTACCGCTGCTCAGCGGCTAATAGCGTTAGCCATTCATGAGCTCCCGTTCCCCTAGCAACAAAGAAGCGAATAGAAAAGATGGGGTGAGATGCGTCTATTCTTAGAGCCCAATTGGAGCGGGCGGATCGGTCCGGGGGGAGAGCCGCATTTTGGCGGCGGGCCGTCATGGCTCTGCTGCAGCTAACCCTGGCGAGCGGCTACTCGCCTGCTTCGGTCCTGCAACACGAGCACATATTCGGCCCCAACCGCACCCACCTTCCAGCACTGTCCGCCCCCCTGCCCTGATGCGCGTCTCTGATCTCTCTGCGCTGCAGCCAGATGCACCATCTTCCTCATTTCCTGCAGCCTTTCAGGTGCCCTGCAAAGGTGACTTAATCACGTTTACGACGGTTGTGCTATCGTCACAGTGCAAACGTGCCTCAACTCTGCATCATCACGCATGCAGATGCACTTTTTAATGTGCAATTTTTCTTGTGTGTAAATAAAAAAAAAATAGTTCTTAGTGCTCGACCTCTTGTGCAATATGCTTGCATATTAAATACACTGTTATATTCCTGTTCTATAGCAGACACCATTGAAACAAAGGTCTTGTTTACGTCGGATTTACTGTTTGCCGTGCTGGCTGCAGATTAGGTATTTCTCGGATTAACGCGACCTCGGATGACATCATCTTGTGGCGGTGGGGGGGGGGGGGGGCTGGGGGACGTTAGGCGTTGGTGTATGGGGGGGGGGGTGGCATTTGAGGGAGTTGGGGGGTCTTAAATTCCCCCGGAGCTGTCTCCCAGTTCCTGTTTTTTCTTGCTTATGTTCCTTGCTGGTTTTCTAAGTTTGTGTTGTCTGTATTGTAGCCTTTTGGGCTAGATCGCCCTCCTGGTGATGAAGCCTTTTTGTGTCGAATAACATGCCCCGCCCACAGGGGCACCTTCTTTTGGCAGTGCCTCTAAGAGTCTGAGACTGCACTGCGATAAATTTGTGTCACAATCGCATTTCGGTGACAGCAGGCCAGTGAAGGTTTGGGTAGCGAGCCACTCTCTTCGCATGTGTGCACGTATTAACGTCTGTTTCTGTCCTTCGCTCTGCCCCCAGACAGGAGGATTTTGGACTTATTTCGCATGGAACGGTAACTGGGGCACTGTAAACCTCACCCATGCTGTTTATGGGAAAGACAGCCTTGGCAGTTCCAGAAAATGCGACATTTTTAGTGCATTTTTTAAATTTCCCGTTTTCAAGTGCTCAGCCCAGCGCTGGTGAGCTGTTCCTGGAGCTGGGTTCTCGTCTGGCCTGTGCTACTCCAGCAGAATTTAAATTGCGTCGGCCCGTCCCTGCTGTCTTCCCTATTCCCTTTGAAGCTGCGGGTTGTGGCGGCAGGGCGGGGAGTGGGGGGGAGGAGGAGGGGGGTCACATTAGCCGTTTGTAGCTTTAGGCCCCCTGGCTTGCATGCAGCACCTTAACATGCAGCTGTTCATGTTACCAAACAGGGTTTTGGAGATTATTACAATCTATATATGTAATAATTACAATACATACGTAAAAAAAAAATTCGCTCATCCTCCAACACGTACAAGTGTTTCTGAGGCCACTTGAGCCGCTCTGCCCTTATTTATGTCAGCTGTTTTGTTTATGTACCGATAGCCCTGCACTTGGCACCTGCTCCCAGTAGCCCCGCCCCCCCCTCCCTGGCCGCCTTGTTATTTCCATGCTGCGGGGTGTGCCGGGCTGCGCACGGCGGGGGGTCTTTAGTTCAGGGTGTCTCTGCTCCTTGTGTGGTGCTGCGTTCTTGGACACAGGGCCCTACCCGCGCTGACCGCGACCGCGACCTGAACGTACCGAGGTGATCCTCGTTTGAGATTCAAGGGGGCGTCTGTTCATGGTGTAAACTTTATAGAGTGCGATATTCGGAGCAGTAGTGTACACAGGGCGGTCGCTCAGCGCTCAGCCTCATGCCTCCAGCATTGTGGGTTCAGCTCCTACCCCCGGTTCCTCCCCCATCACTTTCAGTCCAAGGACACGCGCTTTAGGTCATTCGGTGCCTCTGGCACCTTGCGTAGGTGTGCGCCCAGCATGGGACTGGCGCCCCATCCATCGTGTCCCCCGCATTGTGCCCCGAGTTCCCTAGTATAGGCTGCAGCTTCACATCTCACCCTCTGCAGCATTACCGTTGTGTGAAGATGGATGCATGTTTCCAAGTGAGACTTTTAAAATGTTATTGTCTTTGTTTTTGCAGCAAGAAGTTGAGAAGTTTACAGACATCGAAAAACTCTACCTCTACCTTAGGTTGCCTTCTGGTCCCAGCAATGGGGGTGATAAAAGGTAATCGCTCGCGTCTCCTGAAGGAGGCCGTTTGCGTTTAACAGGTGTCTGTTTTTTGGGAGCAATGCAGCACCTGTATGTGTATCATGTACAATTATTGTAGGGGATGATGTTGATTCAGGAAGCTGCTGGGGTCAGTTTAAGTGGGTGCTCACTGCCCCCCTCTCCTGTCCAGCCCAACTCCATGTTTCATCGGAGGAGTTTGAGTTTTATATTTATCTTAGGGCTGCCGCTTCTTAAGTTACAAAATCCAAGAGCATCGCCGGCCTTTTCCCTGTACAATATGGGTCATAACCAGAGATTTCCTGTTGTGCTGTTTTCTTTGTTTTTTGTCTAATCCCACCACGGCTCCCCCCTCTACGGAGGACAACTTTATTTTTACTTTCCATTGCTGTTGTGCTGTTTTCAGCACTCAGATTCGTGGAAAACCATGAGTGTCCTTGATTCACCAACACAGGCTTGATAGCGACCGTTAGCAGGTTCTGGCTCTCTGTCTCCATTAGTGCCCGTGCACCTGCTCATCACCCCCCAGCCACAAAACGGCACATGGCGTCCATCAGGAACGTGGATCAGAAAAGATCCAGCGATCCTGGATCACTCTCATCCTGCCATGTTTCTCTTTTCCAGGAACGGAAAAGGGGGGGAGAGTAAATAGCAAAACTGCTCTAGAGAAACAAACTAAAAGCAGGAGCAGGTTGGCTAAATGAAATCGCACCTCTAACTCTCCCGTCCTCTTCCAGCGACCAGAGCTCCATGTCATCTAGCCGCACGCAGCAAATTCACGCATTCAACTGGATCCGAAATCACCTAGAGGAGCACCCAGAGACCTCGCTGCCCAAACAGGAGGTCTACGATGAGTACAAGTGCGTAGGAGGAGCTACACTGGCCTTTATGACTTATTTCCTGTTGTTGTGTTGTTGTGTTTTTTGGAGAATTGTGCTTTATGGTGTGGGAGGTGATTCTGGTCCTTCATGTAGACGTGAGCTTCAAAGACGTTTCTACTGTGAGGTGCTTTGGTTAATCACTCTCCTACCCCCTTAACACTGATGCTGCTGTGACTGACCATTCTGCCCAATAATTACAGCTCCTTGAGTTTCTCAAAACTACAGTGCAATACCTCCATATACATTATGTTTTACATGGGTTCTTCATAGCGGTGCAATATGTAAAATGAAAATATTTCTCTTCCTGTGTCTGATTTTTCTATACTATTTATTTAATTCTAGGTTTATTGTTATGTACGTATGTATGTAATTTGTTATCTATGTCATTATGCAGCTACTTAATGTCCCTCTACTTGTGTAATCCACAAATGACAAATAAAAATCCTTGATACTTGGAAAAAGCTTCAGAAACGTCACCAGTGGACATTAAGCATCGATAATGTTACAAATGTTACATTAGTCACATGCAGTTGTTAAAATAGTTCATATTTTTCTAATAATCAGATTAGAAATGAATGAACGAACAGTAAAGTTATTTACAAAAAAGAGTATTCTGTTCACACTTGTGGAGGTAACAGGGATTTTGGGCTCAGTTTGCAATTACTTTTTTTATTTTACTTTTAAATTAAAAATATTTTTGTTGATTTTCAGGAGTTACTGTGACAGTCTGGGCTACCATCCCCTCAGTGCCGCAGACTTCGGGAAGATCATGAAAAACGTCTTTCCCAACATGAAGGCACGTCGACTTGGCATGAGGGGCAAATCAAAATATCCTTCTCTGGACAGCTTTTTGGTGTCCCGCCTGGCTGGGCCTCGGTCGCGAACATCTGCTCTTGTAGTTCATCTCGGCCCTAAATATAGAGCCGGAGAGGAATGAACAAACAGCGGGACCAGTGGCCGTTGAATGGCGGGGCATGCTTTGGCCTCTGGGGCGACAGACCGGCCCTCCACGTTCCACAGGCGTCTCGCATGCACTAAACTTTCTGGTCTCTGACGTCTGACGTTTTGGCATTTGGAAAGGGAACAGAGGCGGGGCGAAATTAAAAATGTTTAGGGCAGGTGAACTCTGGAGCTAAAGGCGCGCCGGTGCACATTTTATTTATACTCAAGACGCATTCGGAAATAGACCTTGTTTGTTTTCACTGGTTGGGATGGTAACCGAAATTCAATATGACCTTCCGAGCAAACAGGGGGTCGCTATGAAAGTTAAAGGCCATGGTCTGTGTAACAGTGCCTCTGAGCCCCAAAACGCTACATCCCGTATAGCTATGGATTTTACTGTCCGTGGCACGTTTCAAAGTCCACGCCGTTCACTGTCAGCTGTTCCTGCGCCGGGCTGTGGCAACCATGAACTCGGGGTTGGAAGCAACGGCATGTCGGACGCAGCGGTCGCAAGGAATTCACAGCCCATTAGCTGTGAACTTGTGTAGTGCGGCTACATCTCCTGTGGAACGGCGTCAGGTTAATCATGGCCTCACAGGGCTTGGTGAACCACCCCCGGGCATGGATGCACTGTCCAATCAGGGGGGGGGGGGGGGGGGGTTATGTGTTTGTCTACTAATTCTGTCCAGCAGGATTGTAAGATTTAATTTAAAAAATGTTTGTGCTGTCTTTCGGGCACGTTCTTGCAGCACATGGTGGAGCTCTGTCCCACTGGCTGGGTTCAGGTTGAGTAGCCATATCCGTCTTGGCCTAGCCTGTCATTATGGCTCCGCATTCCTGGACTGCGATGGAGTCCCTCTTATCTGACTGCCTGAGCTGTCTTCTGTTGGGGATTGTATTTAATTTTTGTGCCTTATCAGTAGATCTTCATGTGCTGCTCCTGACATAAATCACTGGGGTGGAAGGGCAGGTGGGTTGCTGTGGTGACAGTGTAGATATGCTGCTGTTACACCATAAGCCATGATCTGCTTGGGATGAGACCAAAAGCTTTCGACCAGATAAGCTCTCCAAAAGTCAATGTTTTCCAAAATTTTATTCCTTAATGCAGCCTCACATACTGTTACAGTGGGCTGAGGAAGAAGGCGTTCGTACACATGCCGTCGTTACCCAACCTGGACTTGCATAAAACAGGAGATGGGGTAGGTGGACCTGCTTCCTCACCTCGCTGTGCTTTTTCCTCTGTCACTGGGTGATGTTTTGCTGAAGAAATTGGCAGAGGTGGGTAGTTCAGGTCCAGAGAGTAAAAGTCCATTCCAAGATTTTGTTTCAAACAACCAGTTGAGTACTTTGTGACTGTGACTCTTTATGTTCAACTGGCTGGTTGGAACAAAATCTTGGAATGGACTTGAACTCTCTGGACCTGAACTACCCACGTCTTGAAATTAGGTAGCAGAATAATTAAGGATTAATGATGAAGGAATAAACTAATTTGGGTATTAGAATGGTGTACTGGAGAGCTGCAGTGTTTCTGAAGTGATTTATACTGTGTAGAGTACAGCGGGAGGCGGCTCCAAAGCCCAGGAAGTACAAGCGGACAGTTTGTTGATGTGTCTGTCTGCCCCCTGCCAGTGTGAGGTGCTGGAGGCCTCGAGCCAGCTGGCTGGCGCTGACGGGGAGGTGCGCTCGGCCGCCTGTGGCCTGGTCTGTGAATGGGCCCAGAAGGTGCTCAGCCGGCAGTTCGACTCCGTCGAGGAGCTGGCCCGCTTCCTACTCAGCAGCCACTACATCGGCACCAAGTCGGTGGCAGCCCTGACGGTCATGACGGGGGCCGCTACAGGTACAGGCCCACAGCCGCGTGTGTGCTTGCAGTGTTGGCCGATTTCGCTTAGGCATGATGAAATGAGGGACAGAGGCACCCACACAGGAAAACACAGCTGGCGTTGTTTGGTAACAAGGGCTAATTTGCTCCATTCATACAATAGGTCGTAACTCCTCCCAAGCAGATGTAATTTAAGGGGAAGGAGCGCCATCTGCTGGTTATGGGTAGTACTGACATTAATTGCATGATCTTCATGTTGTGTGGTGTATGCTGGCCTTATGTAACCGAAGAGAATAATTTGACCGTACCAGACACACATTCGTATTCAGATGGTAAAGATTCACATTCCTGGTTATAACTATTTTTTTCCCCCTGGCACTATACCATCTCAGGGACAAAGACGCCAACACAGGTGTCTGCGTTTGTGCCAACTGCGGAGGCCAACTCCTTCCAGCCCCAGGTGAAGACCCTGGCGTCGCCTTCCATCGATGCCAAGCAGCAGCTGCAGCGCAAGATCCAGAAGAAGCAGCAGGAGCAGAAGCTGCACTCGCCACTGCCGGGCGAGGCCCAGGTCCGCAGGGTGGACGGCGGCACCCCTGGCGCAGGACACGGCATCCCCTGCAGAAGCCCCGCCCTGCTGTCCCCTCAGCCAACCATTGGCATCGTAGTGGCTGCCGTCCCGAGCCCAATCACGGTAACCTTGCACTTGTGTTGTATTGTAACTATATTCTAATTGTGCCTGTAACTGTGTATTGCAAGCATATTGCTTGTTGAATTTATTTTATTATTTATTGTATTTCTTAATGTTATTGATTATTTTTATTAATTTTATTAGTAAGTGAATTTTACTGGACTGTTTAATATAATTTGATTGTTATCGGTGTGTATTTATTTCCTACCTAGATTTCTAAAATATGCTTTCATTTTATTACACTCAATCTGTCGTTGCTTAATTTTATGATTGTTTGTCCAGTCCTTATTTTTAATGACTGATAGGAAATTGCACTATATCTGCCGCCCTCTGAAAGGTTGTTTATTCTTGTTTATTAATTACTGTGCCTCTGTTCCTTTAGGTACAGAGGAGCAGGCAGCTAATGAGCTCTCCCAGCCCTGTGGGTGCACCAGAAGGCAAGGTCGTTCCAGTCAACTTTCAGGTGGTCACTCAGTCTGTGCAGTCAGTGAAGCAGTGCCCCAAGACACCCCAGAATGTCCCTGCCAGCCCCGTAGGTGACCGCTCCGCCCGGCACCGCTACGCCCAGATCCTGCCTAAGCCTTCGGCCAGCAGCGCCATCACCCTGCGTTCCCCGCCCACGCTGCTCATCACCAACAGTCCCATCAAGGCCGTGATGCCCACGCCGCATGTCAGCTCTGTCAACGTGGTGAAGATGACCGCCATATCCCTAGCGCCCAATGGCACCGGCACTAGTGGCTCCACCTCCACCCCCCTGCGACCGGCCTCTGCCGGGGTGGGCAGCACCGGATCTTCAGAGGAGCCTAGGTCCGGCGCACAGGTCCACAGCGGTCCCACAGCTCTTGTGCAGTCACCTGTGCCCAGGCATGGACGCGTGGCCACGACTCCTACGATCGACGTGAAGCCGGAGCCTGAAGCCATATCCGATGCCAGCCGGGTAGACAGGCTGCTCGCATCTCAGGACCCTGACGGTGTGCAAAAGGGTGTGGCAAATGCCAAGCCCAGGGCTTGCAGTGCACCCACACCACATACCAAGGGGTCCCCAGCGTTCCACGGAAAGTCTCCATCCAACGGCAGCACTGTGGTAGCTTCCGCCGGCAGCAATAACGACAACGGCGAGGGCACTTTTTACTTGACCATTTCGAACCAGGCCACCAGCATCAACTTGTCGCACAGCGGCAGTGCCCAGGCCACCTCATCCCCAAAGGAGGCCTGCTTGGGCTCTAAAAGTCCCCGGAAACGTACGAGCATTGGGTCCGAGTTGAACCAAGCTCCTGTCAAGAAGGTCTTTGTCACGCAGCAGCCCATCGGGAATGCTGACAGTTCGAGATTGAATGTCGGTTCCGCTCTGAAGAAAGCTTCAAGGGCAGGGGCTCCGGCCCGACCCGAAAGTGCACCAGCAATTGTACCCGGCAAGGTGACTGTGAAACTCAACTCCACCGTCCCAACTCGAATTCTTGCACTGACCGATTCTCCCATCACGAATGCAAGTGGCTTCCAGACAGTTGTGAAACCACAGGCCGCTCCAGAACACAAGGATGAGGGGACTCACACTCTGGATCCTGATGACCTCCTTCCAGAGACCTCTGCATCCAGTCAGTCCCTTCTAGAGCAAATTGCCAGCAACTTGCAAGCTGTGGCCACCAACTCCGGAGTACTAGACTCCTCCGCTGCCAATGGGTTTAAGAGCTCTTTGTGGGAGGAGGGACAGCTTGACAGCATTCAGCAGCAGACCTATGTCCAGCAGATACCTGATCATAAGCAAATAGTCACGCCAGCCATGGACCAGATACCGATCATGGCTTCAGATGCCAGTCAGCTCAACCTCCACCAGGACATTGTTGACTTTGCAGGAGGCCAGTCCAGCGTGGATTACTTTCCATTTAACGATGATGAAATGACCCAGGACAGTATCGTTGAAGAGCTGGTGCAGATGGAAGAGCAGATGAAGCTGAACAGCAGTCTCCAATCTTATGGTAGCTGCGTCGACGTAACGCTGCAGGGTCAGTCGGCTGTAATGCAGGGTGCCATGCTGGCCTCCCACCAGGTGGGGGCCACCTTCTACCACTCAGCCCACAGCAGCAGCACTCCCATCCAGACGCCTACGCCAACCCCGACGCCCACCCCGACCCCGACTTCTGAGATGATGGGGGGAAGTCAAGGTCTGACGCGGGAGAGTCCTTGCTCCAGGATGGCGCAGACGACCCCTGTGGACAGTGCCCTGGGGAGCAGCCGCCACACTCCCATTGGGACGCCACACTCCAACTGCAGCAACAGCGTCCCGCCCAGCCCGGTGGAATGCAGAAACCCCTTCGCGTTCACACCCATCAACTCCAGCATGACTGGATACCATGACGCCAGCATCGTCACCAGCAGCCCCGTCAAGCCCATGCAGAGGCCAATGGCCACCCACCCAGACAAGGCCAAACTGGAGTGGATGAGCAATGGGTACAACAGTGGCGGCGGGACGTCCGCAGCCTCTGCCGGCATTGGGATTCTTCCCAGCTACCAAGATCTAGTGGACGACCATTTTCGGAAGCCTCATGCCTTTGCCATTCCTGGACAGTCCTATCAGTCCCAGTCCAGGCATCATGAGTCTCACTTGGGCCGCCTGACGCCCATTTCTCCGGTGCAGCAACAGGTCGCCGCCATGGCTGGTCTGGCCAAGCAGGAAGGCTTTGCAGTGCCTGCTCCTTTGGATAACAAAGCAGCGTCTTCGTCAGGCACCAGCACCTTCCGCTGCCGTAGCGTCAGCCCGGCTGTGCGGCAGCGAAACCTGAGCGGCAACACGGCCTTGGCTAATGTCGCCAGGTCCGCCGCGTCCTCTTTCAGTTCACCTGTGGCTCCAGAAGTGCTCAGCATTCTTGCCAACAGCCCAGACATCGGTGTCGGTAGCATGGCACAGAGGAGCCAGTCGGTGCCACTCAACGTGATGATGCAGACTGAGGTGCTTCCGGTGCAAAAGGCAGGCAACAACCAGAACATCACCAGCGTCCTGCTGAGCAAGATGGATCCAGATGGTGATGATGCCGTGCGAGGCCTGGGCATCAACAATTTGCCTTCAAACTACACTGCCCGCATGAACCTCACCCAGATGCTGGAAACTGACCCCAGCCTCTCTAGTGCCGCTGATACCCAAGCTCTTATTAGCCCTGGCCCTTCCACGTATGAGTTTCAGAAGCCGACTTACCTCATTAAAAATGCCAGAAGTGAACAGATAAGCCTTTCCTCTGCCGACAGCCAAGCACAACGACGGTCTGAGGAGCAACAGCCAGAGTCTGTGGAGCAGCAGCTTCAAGATCAGCAAGATCAAAGTCAGGCACAGTTGCTGGCCCAGGATCCACAGCAGCAGCATCTGGACTTCAACAGCACTGTCAAGGACCTCCTAGGGGAGGACGGCCTGGACCCAGGGTCCCAGCTGGTGGGGCAAGTGGCATCGGAGCTGAATGCCGTGGCATCAGATTTCTCCATCACGTCAGAGCTTTCTAGTAGCATAAGCGACCTGAACACTTTAGACGCAAACCTGCTCTTTGACCCCAATCGGCAGCAGGGACAGTATGAAGACTCGACACTGGAAGAACTGAAGAACGACCCAATTTTCCAGCAGATTTGCAATGAGACTGTGAACTCCGCCGGCTTTGACTGGCTGGAGAGCAAAGACCATCCCACAGTTGAAATGTTGGGTTAATGGTTTTATTTAGATTTTTTTTATGATTGAATGTTAGTTCTATTTTATTTTTGTTTGTTTTTTCTTTCTTTTAGAGAACCATCTCTATGTAAAGGTTCTATAGCACACTGCAACATGAACCTGGACACTGACATTTTGTCCAGTACGAAGTGCCGGGCCAAACAGAAATGATCATTCTTTCTGTTTGGGTTTTTTTTTGTTTTCTGTATGTTTTACTTTATGTGCTGCATCAAGGTGCATTGCTGGTGCTATTATGTCCTCTTTCTACCCGTTTTCCTTAAAATCAAAACAAAATCCTAAATGATCACAGCTGAATAATTTAATCAAAAAGACATGAAAGCACTGTTGCATTAGGACATAAGAAATGTTAATTTGGACTTAAGTTACTTTTTCCCCCATCTTAAAAAAAGAAACTCTTAAAATTTTATTTGAACAATAAGTAATATTATCTCAGTCACTTGAGGTCATGTTTTTAAAAAACCTAGATTTGTTTAGTAGACAGAGGATGCATTATTTCATGGATCAAGTATTTCGATTCTTCTAGACTGTTCTTAAAAGGCAACCTTGTTTACTAAACAGGTTTTACAAAAAAAAAAAAATCTTGCTTCTGATAAATTCCCGAAGACTGCATTGTGCAAACGAACTTTGTGGAGAGAGTTGTGAGTGTGTGCTTACAGATATTATAAGATATGTTGTATATGTACATACATGTATATGGATTGGCTGATAAGAATATTTCAAGTAGCTGACACTAATAGTTTATGAAACTTTCCTTTCAGGATTGTTTAACAGGTGCTTGTCATAAGCTGAATTAAAGGGAGATATGAGATCGTTTACCAAATCAAAAGAAATGGCTTTATCATCCAAATGGCAGTAGGAATACTTTAGGTTAATATGAACTCGTACTGTTTTTCCCCCCACAATGGACAAAATCATTTTTGCCAAATGATTATATTTTTCAATTGGAATTTGACATAGGGTAAGGCTTCTAGTGAGCAGGTACCCGCAAGGTGCTTCTGTCTGAAAAAGTTTCATAGCTACTAGTACCGTCTAGCTTACAGATGAATTAAGCATTAAAATTAAATGGCAGCTGTGGAAATCAGTCTGTAAGACACCTGAACTGTTAAATTTCATTTCCGTTTTTGATTTGAACAAACATCTCACTTTATCTTCACTTGTTACACTGGGTGCTGTAAATCGCCCTGCGATGCTGCAAGCTTATGCCTGGTGTATCAATGTACATCGATACGTTTGCAGTCGCGCTGGAGGACGAGGCGTCTTTGAGAGCAGTGGGGTTATTCTTGGCGTTCTGTTACAGCGGCTTGGTTCCCTCCGTTTCTTTTGTAGTTCACCATTCAGTTAAAATTTTAGGTTATGCTTTTTGGCGGCGAGGGGATAATTTTGAACTCATATGTTCAAGATTCAGCTCATTTGGTGGCAAAATAAGAGATGTAAAAAAAAATATAAAAGCTGATCAGTTGTTACTGGAAATATTAGGATTTCAAGTAAAGTTAGAAATACCCCTATACCAAAGTATTATTTACTGAGGCATTAGTGGAGGATATGTACGAGAATTAGTTGAAGGGGTTAATTGTTCCTGGTTTAGTTGTGCATTTTAATCGCGTGTTTGCAACTATGCATTTCTCTTTAATGCCGTGTTTTAGCTACTGAGTTTTACGTCTATTGATTGCATCCTCAACCCTCATTATTCCTCCTTGCGTTCTCAGTCTTGGCTGTTTCATCTATTCATTGAAAATATTGACGGTGGTATTTTCATTGCTGAGAAACATGTAACCCTCTAAATGAAATGTCATTACGTGCCATGGTTAGGCATTAATGCAAGAGTAAAAAAGAGGAAAAAACCCAACCTATTGAAATGCCATGGAGCGGATGATTGACAGCTTGCACGTTTGGCAATGCACAGAAATAAAATGCGTCTCCCTGTACTGTTGTAAATCCAAAAGGAAAATGACCTGGACTTTCGCTGAGTAACATATGGGACATTTTTTTCTAGTTCAGAATAATTGTTCAGTGCTTGTTTGGGCTTTAAAAATGCCAGGCTACAGGTGGAGAAGCAATATAATCTATGAAACTCTAAGCATTTCAAAATGCATGTATGTACTACATGTATGTCTCAGATAAGGGAGAAGAGTCATTTCTTATTTAGGATAAACACTGGAATTAATCTGGGCCTTTGGTTTCTAAAATAAATTCTAGTGAGTAACTGCATAGTAGCTTAAAGATCACATCGTACAACGAGAATCACTTTCAGTGATGAATAGCAGATATTTTTGGAGTTAGCCAAGTTTTTACTACAAAACAGATGACTCTGTGGCATGGTGAAAATCGGGGGGCTATTATGAATGCTAAAAGGTGCTTCACGATCCTTTTTGCGTAGCGATTATCAACTTTGACTCGCAGTGTTTTAGGGTTTCAGCCTTCTCAGCCTTATGTCCATACCAAAGAAACGCTGTTCACCAAGCCCGAGAAGAAAATGGGATCCATGCTTATTTTCCATTTGCTCTCCCATTAATGCTTTGCAGTAAAAGCACTGGCTTATTCTGGCAAACAGGTTGGACATTCTGTGCAAATATGGTGGCGTGAAGGCTTTCATTGTTTCTTTAGCCTGCAGTGGGAGTTAACGTGTGGAATAGGAGCGGTAATAGGGTGGGGGGGGGGGGGGGGGGGGGGGTAAATTTATATATGTAATTTTTAAAGCGGGCAGCATTTCCGCAGCACTGAGAACCTTGTGTTGAGAAGCATGCTGAGAGCCACACTACTTAGTCTGGTATTTAAAACTGTTGAAGTGGGATGTTCTCCAGGTGAATTTTGTTGTAATTGTTGAAAATCCTGTTGAACTTCCATTTGTATATATGACAGATTTACAGAAAACAGGCCCAGTCTATTGAGAAGCTGTATTATAGTAGAGATTGTGAAATATTTCTGTGCTCTGACAGAAATACTGTACTTATCATCCTTGATCCCGTAGCCCCCCCCCATCAAGAGAGAATTTTTCTTCAGAATCTCATTCTTGTACAGTCAGTGGCTTCTGGCTCGTCTGTTTTGTTTTGTTTTGTTTTTTTTCTTTCTGACATTTATAGTGGTCCGAGTTTGCAGAGGAGATGTGTGCTTAGCATAAGAACAAAAGCGTGGCTTATTGAGATACATCAGTGACATGTTGGTGGGATTCGTATCGTCCTGTGACAGAGATGTCTTGTGCCCAGGACTAGGCAGCAGGCAAATGGAAATTCAGCGGCTCGAAATTTCAGCAAAGCTTTCGAAGGTTCACATTATTGCACTAAACTTTTTATGAAAAGGGTTTGGCATCCCTTTTAGGACAAATGCAACAATTATGGCCCCCAAAATATTTTTTATAAAGAGTTTAAATAAAAAAAAAAGTTAACTAAAGAAGGAAACATGTCATCTAAAAAGTGACACCATTTAATTGTCTTATGTAGCAATTTGCATTGATCTCAGTGAGATAAAATCTAACTCATTCTCATGCAGGAGAATATAAAAAGAATTAAAGAAAATTTTAAAAAAAAGAAAACTTTATTAAGTCTCAGTCACCATGTCGATAAATGATCATTGGTGTGCATGTGTGTTGGATTATATTGTACAAACTATTCTTTACCACTTTCTTTCCTGTAATGAGGACTGGTTTTGTTGACCAGCAAGGTATAGCTAACTCACTATTGCAAAGTTAGTTGCATTGTTTGATGTTTACTAATTCAAATTAGTATGTTCTGTATGTTCTGTTTCTTTTTTTTTTTTTTTTTTAAGAAAAATGCATCTTTGTGAAGATTCATTTTCTAAACTTTTTTTTGGCAAACCTGTTTTAAGTAAGCACTGATCTTTGGACTCGCATTATGAAAAGACACTTCTCCATGCACAGGGGGACCAGTCTGCAGCCCTCGTTGTGCTCTATTCTTCACTGACCCAATAGATCCTCCTCTGAACCCATCTAGGCTCGTAGAAGAATCTTCCATCTTGTTGTTGTTGTCTGGTGTACAGCGGACCGTACAGTAGTAGCATTTCAGCTGTGTTTTACTTTTTTTTTTTAATTCAAAGTGCTCACAGATGTTGAGAGTTTTTCTAAGTGGTTTTAAAAACCAATAAACTTTTTTTTTAAGGAACCTGTTGTTTTTGGTTTTCTGTTATCTTCTGTGTGATGGATGCTTACTTGTGGTTGACCATTAACTATGAAATTGCTTAATTATTTAATTTCAGAATACTTTCCTAATAACTTGGATTTAGAAAAGTAGCCACCTTGGGACATACTGTTTCTTTCAGTCCTAAAAAAAACGTATCAGCAATATAGATTGAAGTTTCTGTTATTGTGCAACTCTGGTTCCATGTTTAGCATGGATTAGTGTTAAATTGTGATCTTTTTTCAGGTAAACTACAGTAAACTATTATCTCGTTTATCATCCTGAGTGGAAAGAGGTAATACACGCACGATACAGAGTGTGACTTACCTGGGTAACACCCCCAAATATTTCATTATTATTATGATTATTGTTTTTATATTACACTTACGTCTGGGCATATAGGGTATTAGACATCTGGTGTGTTTTAATATTTTATAAAAAATACTTTTCAATTTAACATTGAAATGCTCCCTGATACCTACAACACCTATTATCTCAAATTACTAAGGACAACTGAAAACTTAAAACTATACTTAGGATCTACACATCATGTTTGAAAGATATGTGAATTTGAAGGTGAATATCTCAAAAAATAATTGGCAGAGTCCTTTTTTTTTAGTCTCGTGATATTTTTTTTCATTTGTGTTTTTATTTCCGGTATTTCATAATCGACCCAGCTGTAGGCCGCCTTGACAAAAAAATATAGCCACAAAATATTTGATCATTTTATTATTTGGATACTATTTTTTTAAGATCAGTAGACTTTGAAGCTAACTTCAAAAATCCAAACTCTGCCTTCGGCTCTACTGCCTGAGGGACATATGACGACGAGCTTTTACAGTCAGATTTGCGCGAAACACGCAAACAGCGTCCCCGCCTGGCAAGCCGAATTGCCGGTGAACGCTGAGCGCGCGTTTGGTGACGTCATCGCCACGCCCCCGGCCCCGGCCCCGGCTTCCTGTTCGCCGCAGGTCAGCAAAGACGGGCCGCTGGGGGGCGGGAAGGTGCTCGCCGCTTACATTTGCGCTACGCAACGGGCTTGGAGGAGGAGTAGTAGGGGGGCGGAGGCGGAAGAACAGAGCGGCCAGGATGGTGGACAGCGACATAACAGCTCCACATATGACAATTTAATCTGCGCCGTAACAGACGCAACTTAATGCTGAAACTGTAACCGCTGGCCAGCAACTGGATGCTGACGAAGGAAGCGGCTCGCATTGTGGGGGTGTGAAGTTAGCTGGTTGTCGCAAGTTTCGCCAGTTTGTCCCCAGTAAGTCGGACCAGACGGAAAAACAACGATCAGGAAGCATGAGCACGTCTGCAGTGCCTGAGGTCCGAGGGCTTCCGACTGACGTGGTAAAATACCCTGCTGTTTGTTACTGACTGTCCTCTGTGTGTGTGTGTGTATGTGTGTGTGTGTGTGTGTGTGTGTGTGTGTGTGTGTGTGTGTCAGGCCATATCGTTTTAGGTCACTTATTTGGCTGGGAAATAGCAA